TCCCACCGTTACCACTCCTCCTGGATGCACCAAAATAAGATAGCTCTCAATCCCTGGATCATCTCTGCTTGATGATGGCCTTGTGTAGTTTCACTCACAGACATGGTGTGTTATGCTTATTTGGTGGCTGCTATCCTTGAAAGGGTGATATAACAGGTGGGTGTGATTTTTCACATGAACAACAGTGATCAATCTCCAGCCCTCTGCCTGCTAATGAGGGTCATAAATCACAAGCATGCCCAGTCACTTCTCTGCCTTCAGCTATCTGAAAGATATCTAGACCAAGCAAATTATCTGTTTCTATAACATAGGCTGGGAACATAAGCATTACCAAACTCATTCACCCCACTTAACTATTTTAAGCTAGACTGAATCACTTGCCAAGAAAGCACAGTCTAGCTAACAGTGATGCCTGCCTTAGAATTGGTGTGGGGAGCTGAGAAAGATTCCATCCAACACATTTATGAAGATCTTGCTCCTTTTCAGTGAGTAAAGCTTGTGAGAAGCCAAGCAGCTCGGAAAATTCACTGCAGAAAAATGCTCATCCTGAGCTGTACGTTTTTGCACAACTGTAGACCAGTGTAACCATAAATTGCATAGGGCTGGGATCTAAACAGCTCTGTTTGGAGATGCTGATTGCAGCCAAGGGCTACCCAGCTCCAAGGAGGGAACTTGCAGTACTCTTATGGTGATTTTTGTCTTTAACTGTGGTTGTGGGAGACTATAAAGAAGCTACTGCTTGAAGGTGTCCCAACCCCGAAAGTTCAACACACTAACGGAATACAAATAATATTGAAGCTTTTGACATATATCAGCCCAACTAGCCTTTAGTTCAGGATTCCACTTCTTATTATGGCCAGTTATTTAAACTTTCATATTCACACACAGGAAATCCCTTATTATTACAACCTAACGTTTCCAGAACAGTGTCCTTATATCTATGTCCCCAAAGACAACTGAGTTCCCCTTTCCATTTAAGAGGCACTGTCATCCTTTCCAACACTATTGTTCATCTGCATCCCCCCCATGCCTCACACTCTTCCTTAGATGAAGTGGGAGGGCCACGCACAGATGCAGAATGCTGCTCGAGTCTGATCCTGTCCCACAGCTCAGACCCCACCTGATGTTTCTTTGCCCGGCTCATCACCATTATAATTTTCCAGGTTTTCTGAGTCAAAACATGGGCCCTTTTCCTGCATAGCAAGTCAGATCATACAATCTGAAGACCCCTTTCAGACTTACAACATGCAAATCTCCTACACCTAGTAAGTGTAAGATCCTTTTCAGGATTGAACCTTGCTCACCCTGCTGCATTTCTCTGCTAACCCTGGCTATACCTGGATACAGCTGGATTTGGTGTGTCTTCCCCTTCACACAAGACATGGTCCTGGTGTGTTCTCTGCAACGTTCATCCAAAGTCCAGCACAATGGAATGGAGCTGTTCCCTTCCTTGCACTGGGTTTCGATGCTCATGGTTATTTTTTCCTGCTACCCAAATCCATTTATTAGAACTTGCTCCTGCTGACCCAAAACCACCTCACAGATTTACCAAGATATTCAGCTGTGTCCAGAGACTTCAAGAACCGCATTCAGATGAACAAATGCCCTTTTTCTCTCTCTTAATGTTTGAAATTGATATAATCTTCTTTTTTTTTGATTGTAGACCCCAAAGTAGGCACCAGAGTCTGAATATGCTTCTAGGTGGCTCAACTATTTATTATGCTGCTTGAACCACACAGAAAGAGCCTGGTTTTCAAGAAATTATGAGAATATTATGAAAATAGAATAACTGGAATTTCAGGTATCTGAAATCTCTGGATGTGCCTAAAAAATCATATGAAGAAGTGCTTTATTATTAAAGTTATTTAATGATACCATTTCTTCCAGCTTTGTGATTCATGCATTGTCTTCTTCATCCTACTCCCAAGTCATTAATCAGAATACAAAGGGTTTTAATACCCAGAAAAGAACTTTTCTATTCGGATTGACTCTTACCAGCAAAGCTCCCTGCTTTGAGAAGCATGCTGCATGGGAAGAACTGTTACTGTTTGGGCAGACAACAACTCCTACTGAGCAAAAGCACTCTCTGACACATCTGTGGAAGTTACTGCACTTTTAAAACTGTTCTATTTGTACTGCTTTAATATTGCATTTTATTATCTACCCTAATATCTCTGGTTTCTATCTGCTTTTCAAAAGAGAGGGATGGTGCCTATCACCTACAGTAACAAAAGGTGGTTTTCTCCCTATAGCCAATTTTCAGCTAATTTAATATAACTGTTTTTCTATTGATTTACAAGTCTGACTGATATAATTCTTTTGAATAAGGAAGATGGTTGCACAGCATGAATAAATGCTATTAGCTTCCCAAGGAGATAATACAGCGCAGTGGCAGCAGTAAACTTTCCTTTTTTCTTGTTTTGCTCCCATATGATATCTATTTTTATTGAATAATTTTATTTGAGAAACAAAATGGAAAAAGAGCATTGCTATTTGTGGAACCTTTCCAATATGCTGCAGGAGCAGAAGGCTTGGATGGAAGATACGCAGCATCTCAAAAGACTGTTTTGTGGTGGCAGACATCATCACAACAGTGTTAGCAGTGTGATATTGGAATGTCATTTACTTCCTTCTGTGACCAGCCTTGGATTAGCACCACATTAGAATGCATTCTAATAAATGCAATTTAAAACAAACAATGTTGTCAGCTCTGGCCCAGGCACCCAACTCCCTTGTCTTGGGCTGAGATGTGGAGTACCAACATCATGCTGAAGTGCAATAGGAGAGTGATTCATCTGAGTGAACTTAAAAGCCTCCAACAACAAGGTGATTCATGCTTCAAATGCTAATGGTTTTTTGCAGTAACTTCATTTTACTGATTTTGCATTTCCATATCAACTTCCATATCAACTGATTTACAAGCATCTGCATGAGCTCACATGTTTATATGTGAGCAGTCAGGTGCGACTCAGCTGAAGTTAAATAAGACTCTATTTAATGGGGTCTCTCTCTGAAGATAAGCTCAAGGCATCTCTCTAGATAAGACCCTTAAGCAGGAGGGGACTCCAAATCACTTGTTGTAATAAAATATAATGGTGCATCTTCTTTGAGCTCTCTTAGGTCTTGAAAAGCTAAGGATGAGGTTCTGGTAGCAAACTAATGCATGTAAACATGAATGATGTCTTTGATGAGAAATGGACCCAGTTCCCATCGAGGATAAAACCAAAAACTTCCAAAACTTCATTTCTGCACTTCACACCCCTGTGGCAGCTGGTACCTACACATCTCTGAAGAACTGGCCATTAATGTCTTTCAGAAAGGTTTTCAGTTCTCACACACTTCAGTCAAGGATGAATTTCCATTGACTGTGTGGATGGGTTTTCAGTTCTCAGCAAGTTTATTCAGAGCAGCCCTGCAGAAAAGGACTTGGGGGTGATGGTCAATGAGAAACTGAACATGACCCAGGAGTATGTGCTGGCAGCCTAGAAACCAACCGTATCCTGGGCTTCATCAAAAGGAGTATGTCCAGCAGGTTGAAGGAGGTGATCCTGCTCCTCTACTCTGCTTTTGTGGGACCTCACTTGCAGCACTGTGTGCAGTTCTGGGAGCAACAACATAAGAAGGACATGGAGCTGTTGGAACAAGTCCAGAGGAGGCCATGAGGATGATCAGGGGCTAAAGCAACTCCTACATGAAGACAGGCTGAGAACATTGGGGCTGTTCAGCCTGGCAAAGCTGTGAGGAGACCTCATAGCAACCTTCCAATATCTGAAGGGGGCCTACAAGGATGCTGGAGAGGGACTCTTCAATAGGGACTGTAGTGGTAGGACAAGGGGTGATGGGTTCAAACTGAAACAGGGAAAGTTCAGGTTAAGTGTAAGGAACAAGTTCTTTACTGTGATGGTGGTGAAGCAGTGGCACAGAATATATCTTGCCTGTTTCCATGGTGATGACAGATGCTCTGAAAAACACTACTTTGAAAATCTATATAAGCCTTTGTAGTGCTGTGATTTGATTAAAGATAGCAGTAATAACAATAAAATCCCAGGACTCCATAATGCCAGAGGGGTAAAGAAGAATTGGATTAAAATAGAAAGGTACTACCTCTGGTTTTGAAGTCCACAAGCCCAAATCAGAGGAAACTGGAGAATTACACCAACAAATACCTATTTTTCTGTTCTGATGTTCTTCCCAAGGCATCCCTTGTTACTCTCTACTGAAAATAAGATGTTGAGGCAGGTGAACCATGGCTAAAATCCTGTTTGGCCTCTCTGATGCCCTTTTATTACCAAAGCAGGAATAGCTGAGACAAATGATACTCCCAGTCATTTTGATCATGTTATACAAGAGAACACACATCTAATTGTGGAAGTTTTCAGAAACACCAGGAGTGTCTTTCATGTTTGACTGGCCAGAAGGCAAGGAGTCATCTCACATAGGAATGACTGCTCCTTCCATACTGGAAACAAGTAGGAATGAAAGCAGTCTCATTTCAGTTCTATGAGAAGTCCAGTGGCTCAGTGATAGTCCCAGGCTAGGACAGAGGAGAGGCTTGTGGACAGGATAGAAATGAGCATTAATTTGCTAGCTGCAAATAAGCCAGGGCAGGAAGGTGAATACAGAGACCCTCTGCAGACACATCCTAACATCATCGCTTTCAGCCACTTTGGTGTGACCGCTTTCCTCCTATGCCTCTGCCTAGAAAATGCTTCCTGCTTCAGAAACATCTTCCTGACACTCTTCAAAGAAAATCCCACCCAACATCTCCAGACCTTCACAGGCACCAGTCACCAAACTCAAAACCTGGGTTACCTCTGAGCATAGAGCTCGGGAGATCACAGCTCTGGGACGCTGCTAGGAATAAGAAGAGATCACCCTGTGCAACAGAAAGGCAGAGCTCCAGGGTGATTCAGTGTACTGAATTGTAGCTGCACTGGGTAGAAAATGAAACAGGATTTGCACAGCTCTCTGTTTCACAGAAAGCCAGTGGTGGGGCGGGGGACGGCAGATCTGGGTAACTGCTCACCCTCTGACATCAGAAACCTCCGATGCAGCACCCGAGAACGCAGCTGCAAAATCCCTGATCAAGAACATGAAGCTCCTTCCCGTCTTCACAGCTGCATCCTGCTTCACGCCCCCAGGTCCCCCTTTTTTTGTACTACGAGTGATGAAGATTTTTTTCCGGATCACATGAGCCAGGATGAAGGGGGAAAATCCTGCCAGGAAAAGAGATGGGCTGCAACTTGAACCTGATCAAGGGGAGATACAGAGCAGTACCCTGAGGGCTATATAAGAATGTGCTCGGCACAAGAGCAAACACTTTTTCAGGCGAAGGACTTGCATGAGTCAGCCATGCATGTGAAGGAAGACTCCGTTTCAAGGAGGCTTGGAGCCACTAACAGAACATGTTTGTATTTCATCATCGCTACCCTTGCTGCGTTACTCATCTTTGCATTAGCCACCATCATGGTCTTAGTCGTTCAGAGGATGGTAAGAAATTTCTTACTTTATTCATTCTCCCTTTCTACCCCTTTCTCTCCCCCCCCCCCCTTCCCCGTAGTGCTGTCCCAAAATTATCCTGTGGCCAGAAAACCAGCCACTGCCTCCTCTTATAAATGCACACCCATGAAACAAAGAGGGAAAGAAAAGAACTTTCAACGTTCCTCCATGGGCAACATTAATTTCTAGCACGCAATTCCTCCTCTGTAAATGGAAGTGGAAAACTCACAATGTGAGATGCAAGTGACCCTCTATCCTGCCTAGTTAGGACAAGAGGTGGAGAGAAGATGTAGTGCCTCAGTGTTTGCTACCTCTTTCTACATGTGTCTCAGTTCACTTCTTTGGAGAATGACCATTTTCTGAGGTGGTCTGGTCTGGTTTCTAGAGTCTACATGAATTCCTTTGAAATACTGATGAATTTCAGTAATGGATATAACAAGAGACATCTGTGTGTGTGACACTGTGGATGCACCATGCTGTGGTGTGGCAGAACTCTCTTGAACTACCCAGGGCAGTGGATGTGGGCAGAGTAGCTCCCTTCTGCTCTCTTTTTTTTGTCAGTCCCATTCTGGGGTGGGATTTTTAACGCAAAACTAAAGCTATAGCAGGGATGACTGAGGATGTAAGTGAGGCAAGATCTCACAGGGTCTCACAAAAACAGCTGTTACCTCTGCCTACGGACATCTTTTCCTTCTTAAAATGAGGAAAATGGGTCTCAAGTGCACCTGGGGTTAAATGAGGAATCAGTGAGAAGTTACAGCCAGAGAAGAGGCACAGGTGGTTGTGAATATAAAAAAAACTCATTTCTAATCTTACCAGGAACATTGCCATGAACTTTACTGGAATGAAATGCCAGGTTAAACAATTTACAGGCTTTGAAATCTTACTGCAAATATCTAAGTGCTAAAGTATCACAACTATTCATAGGCTAAAAGCACCAGTGTGGGGCTGCTGGAGGAAGTTGGCCAAGGAAAACAAAATACGATCTTTCAGCTCAGTGTTTTCTCTTCATAAATTAACTCTGTGCAATTTGTGTGCCTCTGTATGCACATTACCCAGAAATGAAACCATGAAGGCCTGACTGATATTTCTTTGTTGCACCTGAGAGGAGACATTTACCTGAAATCAGTGCTCTTCCAAAAGAGAAGCAGTTTGGGCACAGTGAAAATGAGACGTGGGGGTTTTCAAGTGACAAATAGTGGGACATTAAGGGAGCTCTTTAACATAACAGGCTGGATAATTACAGAATTGCCAAAGCTTCCCTATATAATGAGACTTTCATTTATACTTATTATGAAAGTAAGCATTAAATTACCTCTCCATCAGGATAAACACAGTTACACTATAGTTGCCAGAGGAACAATATTACTGAAAGAGTCAAGCTTTTCATTTAAAAGAGTAATGACATTATCGCAGCTGCTTTGGTAATGAGTTTGGCTGAAGGAGAAAGCAGGAAGCTGAGGTGTGTGAGGAACACAAATAAAATCAAGCATCAATTTTACACTGTGAGAGGAATTTGGCAGTAAAAGTATAACTTGTGTTCTTGCTCTCAGGGAGCTGAAAGACCCCCAGGTTCTGAAGCACCATAGTCATTCTCCATCCGTGCCTGGTTTTAAACTTCCAGACCTGGGAGCAAGTGTTGGTTCTGTGAGACAGGTTCCTCAAGAAACTCCAGGGCTTACTCCAAAACTACTTTAGCTCATGGTCACAATGTCAGTGTAAGGCTAGGCACAAACTCTTTTGGTAAATACAGTTGTGGCTGGGCTAAGCATTGTGTAGTATTGACTTCAGTAGTTCCACGACATGGAGTTTGGATGGTTCTTGTACCTGGAGCCCTGTAGACATTGAGTCTTACTGATGAAGGGATTAGAACATCATCAATTGGCTTAATTTTCTTTGTAACTTCTAAAGAGAGGACCAACATTTTGTGTGATCTGTTTTACTCTCCAGATGTTGTCAGCTGGATTATGTGAGTGGTCTTTGACCATGGGAGCAATGGTGGCAACTTCATGCCCTCCCTATGCTGAGCTAGCAACTTTTCCTCTGCTCAAAGGAGTGTTAGGTTAATGGGTCTTAGAGACAATGCAGGCCCTTGTGACCCATGCCTCAGGTACCACTGCATTAAGAGAAGGCTTCTGGTGGCAAGCAGTTCATACAGTCTCCTACTCCCACTGCAGGTATATGCAAGTCACTGCTTGTCTTCCTTTTGATGAATTTACACTTGCCTAGTTTAAGATGAAGGATGATGCATTAGAAAGTGAAAATCAAACCGTGTAGAAACAAGGCAATGGCCTCATCCAATATCTGGGTGCTCTCAATAAAAGGAAATCCAACATGAAAGACCAAAACAAAAAAAAAGCAGCTATGATTCCAGAGAGTCTCTGAATTGAACAGCATTGAAAATACACATTAACACCCTCACAAACACACCCCCATTTTCCAGTACGCCAAGAACTTTCCTTTACACCTTGTTTTTCAGACCTCAGCAAATCTTACACTGTGCTGCAAGGAACGCTGTATCAGACACCTAAGCCACCTACCTCTATGAACAAATTCTGTGTGAACGTCCAAAGTCTGTAATCTGGGACAGTCCATCACTGCTCTGGATCTTGTAAACTTCATATTTTTAACCTCCAAACTGAATGGGCAAATCTTTTCAGCACCATTAAGGCACCAGGGTGGCAAATGCCAAGAGCCAGTGCAGTTACTTCCATTTGCTGATCCAGTTTTCAAGGCTGCTGGAGTTAAAAATGTCAAATCCTTTTAGCAGTGGGGCTGTTGTAACCAGAAATTGCTCCCAGAGCACCCAGCATGATACAACCTATAGCACCTAGTATGATAACCACGCTATCAGTGATTTATGTCTGCTCAAAGATAACTGTCACGCACTGCCCCACTCGGTGCCTATTGGCCCCCTCTGGCGGGCAACCCTGACAAGTAGGAAAAGGTGAAAACCCCAAACACCAGCTATCGCCCCGAAAGCAGATTTCCACTCGCTGAACACCACAGGAAAACCACTGAGGCATTTTAGATAAGAAAATGCATTGTTCCAACGCTTGCTGTCGGTGTTGTGTACAGTGACAGTCACCTGCTGCATGGAGGGGGGACTTTAATAGGGTTTGTCAGGACTGGAAAAGCTGCATTTCACACAGGGCTCTGTTTCACAGAATCAGTGAGGTTGGAAAAGGCCTTTAAGACTATGAAGTCAAACTGCTCCCCAGCACTGCCAAGGCCACCACTAACCCATGGCTCTGAGGCCTCGTCTCCACGCTGTGTGAACACTTGCAGGGACGGTGACTGCAGCCCTGCCCTGGGCAGCCTGTTCCAATGCCTGAGCACCCTCTGGGGCAGGAATTGTTCCTCAGCTCCATCTAAACCTGCCCTGGTGCAGCTTGAGGCCGTTTCCTCTTGTCTCATCCCTTGCTCCTTGCAAAAACGGAGCAGCCACCTCCCGTCTCCATCCTGCAGTGATGTGATGCTCGTTACGAGATCAGCTGTGGGGACAGTGCTCCACTTCCTGGTGTTTTCAGTGTCAAGTTTCTAGCTTTTCCTCTTGGACAACCACCTCAAGTGCCACCTCCTGCCTTCCCCCTCAGCCAGAGATGTGTAATGATGGCTGGAGGCTGAGCAAGAGACACAGGAGATCCTTGAGGCTCTTCTTCAAGTGGCAAAACTTCCTTTGAGGGCAGCAGCCCAAAAAGCTTGTTCCCACAGAGCCACTGAGTGGACATGCTCTTGGGAGAGCCCTAGACCTTGTTCAGCTGACCCCAGGCCAGTTTTTAGGGGCTGTGATTTGGAGGTGTGTTTTCTTGGGCTTTCTAGAAGCAGATACATACTCCAGTATGTTAAATGGTTAAATGACTACTCAGGGTTCTAACACGGAATACGTCCCTTTAGCAGCACCAATCTGACTCAGCCTGGGAAAAGTTCTTGTAAAATAAGGCAAAAGAAGAATGAAATAACCTTCACTGGCACCTGATTATCATTTTCTCTAACAAAGCAAACTCAAACCATGCTACTTGCTGAGAAAAGACTGAGATCCTTCAGCAGCAGCACCCAGCTCACTCCACACAGGGGGAAATTCATTGTCATGCACCCTTGCCTGATCTGGCACTGTAGAACTGAATTTCTCTAGGTTCCTGCTGCATGCCGCTTTGCATTCCAAATCACAGCATTGCAAGCAAAGTTTTTGCTGTCAGAAAAGGAAGAAGTAGTGCCAGTAATATTTCAAAGCAATCTGTAAAGCTCTATTTGAATATCTATTCAATTGTCACTAAAATAAATTGCATTAGTATCTGCTGTTTCCACCCCCTGGGAGACTTCCCAGGTGAGAACACAATACATTAGTTCGTTTCTGTTGTCCTGACTCCAACGCAAGCTGCGAGCCATCAGCCTTGTCCTGCAGGCCACCTCCAAGGGAGGTGCAAGATGAACACCTCATTGATGAAAAGGGTTCAATCAGTTTACCAAACACTTCTCTGCTGCCTGCTTTCATTTAGCATAATGTATCTGGGGACAGAGCGTCTCCATGCAGAAATGCCTTTAGCTCTCTGCAGAGGGCAGACATGCTCATACATAGCATTGAGAAGCAAGGCTTCCCTTCGCCCTGAGCACATGTGAGAGGGATGCTCCAGTGCAAGAGTCCAAGACAGGAGCTGAGATGCTCCTTGGGAGCATTTTCAGCAGTCTGTTCTCAGTCCCACATTTGATGATATGTGTGCATAGGATCCATAAAAGTTTGCAAGGGAGGAGGGCATGTAAAGGACCAAAAAGCTTGGAAATGCCTGGTTTTCAAACTACAGCTTCAGGTTCCTATTCTAACCCAAAGACCTTCCTGCACAGTTTAGGAAGATAACCTGGAGAATTATTATCTCCACAAATAACTTCTCCCCTGTCGTACATGGGTGTGGGGAGAGAAAATGAACAAATCACGTATTACAGATACCCGCATCATGAAGCACCTATGCCATCTGTCTGCAGGACACAGCATTTTGGTATTAAACCGAAAGATAGTGTTGCTTTGCTGAAAGCAGATGCAGCTTGACACTTCAGCCATGGTTGAAAACATAGCCACGTTAGGCCAATGTCTAATTAAAATACTGAAGGCTAGAACATTAAATACAACAACTACACAGAATCTGACTTCTCTCACTGTCCAACCATCTTCCTTCTCCGTGTGTTACCCTATTTACACACGGAAATAGTGCTTATGGACCACTACGAAGTTGTCTCCCACCACATACATGGTGTGCCTCATTTCTCTAAGGAGATATTACTGTTCTGCTAAATCTGGTACCAGATTCCCAAATTTCTTCTTGGGCATATAGATGCCACTGAAACAGGCTCCCCAGGAGAGTGTTCACAGCACCAAGCTTGTCAGAGCTCAGGGAACACCTGTACAATGCTTTTAGTCATTTAGCTTAATTTTAGGTAGTCCTGTGAGGAGCAGAAAGTTGGACTTGATCCTTCAGGGTCCCTTCCAACTCCAGATATCATACGAATCTATGATTCCATGCTAAATAAGGCCTGGCCTCATTAGATTACACAACTAGCCCAGGTAATTGGTATCCACATAAGAGGAGCTGGTTTAGGCTAGCCTGAGGAAAAACCTCTCCCTGATACTGAAGTCACCATGGGACTGCCTGCGTTAGTGAGTGCAGGAATATGACAGAGTTTCAAGCACTCAGGCACTCTCAGTATCTTTCCTCAGTATCTTTTCTTCCTGTTGGAAGAATTTCTTTGCTCCCTGAGGGCAATTGCTGGGTGTTTACAAGCTGTCAGTGACTTCACTTGTGTGGAGGTAATACGCAAGCGAGCACAGGTTTCAGGGTTGTACCTTTGGATGGCACAGAGGTGTGATGAAATAGAAGCAAGACCACAATGAAGCCTACCATATTCCTCACTTGGAGCTTGTTTCCTGAGATGTTCTCAGGCCACGCTGACTGAGGACAACTGCCTATTCTGAACAGTGGGTTTGCATCCCAGCAAGAAGTAGGAGGGAGGTGAAGCAGGACAACACCATCACTCTCCCACCTTGGGCTCTACATCTTTTACTTTCATCCAGCTACTGGCTTCCTGGGGGCAGATATTGACTTTCTAGGGTTACAAGTCCCATTCTGTCCTGCTCTCTTCAAGCTTTGCAAGCCACAGAGTGAGGTTTTCAGGGCTTCAAAAACCCAACTGCACTGAGAGAATTGCTTTCTCTGTTAGAAATTTAGATTTTCTACATTAGAAATAAAGGGCTGTGATGAGGTACACCTGAGGGTAATTTTTGGAGGATCGGCAGAGAGCTTCCCAGAGCTGTTTGCTCCACAGGAATCCCTCACTCACCTGTGAGGCCTTATAGGACCCATAAGCTCTGTAGCAGCTGGCACTGGCTCCCTGCACATCAGGCCCTGTATTGCCTACATGGCATGCAATAGAAACTCTTACAATCCACTTTTAAAGCAAGGTTGTACTTGAAGATGGATGTAACTCATGGAATAACCATCCTTTCTTTGCTTCTTTTTCAGGTAGTGGATCCTGCCACAGAGGGCATTGCAAAACCATTCAAGACAGGTAAGATACCTAAACAGTACATGTGATCTGTCTCATCTGTAAGGCAAATATTGCCCAGCATCCCAAATAAGCCAATTACTCACATTTTAACATTTCAGCCTTGGATAATCTTTTAATCTGAGACTCTTCTGTATTGGGCTTGTTTCATAGCTCACAAGTCTCAAGGTAGTCGCTGCATGTCCTTCCTGAGAACTTCCCATCGTGCCTGACCATCCTTTTTTCTGTTTTAAAATTCCTGTAATCTGGAGGGATTTTCTTTTCCCCAGGACATCCTAAGCACATATTGCTTTCTATCAACCAAAGTAGCTCCTTACAACTTTGTAAGTCTTTCTTAAGTTTTTTAGTGGTTTATTGTGCATGAAAAGTTCCTCAGAAATAAAGCAGCTTCTGAACACAGCCCTACTCTAATGCATCCCAAAAGGTGCCCAAAAAGGCTCTTTGCAAACCCAGTGGGCTGCAAGACATCACCCTCTCTGCCCTTGGTCCCCCGAGATGGTGGAAAGTCCCCAGCGCTGGAAGGTGGACCCCGGAGCAGAGCCTCTCTCTTTAAACCAGCATAAACTCAGAGATGTCTCCAGAACTGTGCTGGTTTTCATGGCTGTTTTACCACCAGTTAGGAGGAGATAGTGAAAGCTGTGGGTGTGAAGTCTGGTCGGTGACAGAGGAAGAGCCACAGATACTGTATCTGTAGGTCAGTGTTTTTCAAAGCAAAGCATTGACCAGCGATACTGGTATTCCCAGGGCAGGGAGGAATGATCTCACTAACCCAAAAGTGCATTGCAATATACATACACATATACATGTACGTGTTTCATACCATGCAACCTATGCCAATTGCTTTTTCTCCTCATCACTAGTGGGCAGGTGCCAGGCAGGAGGAACGTGTTTTTTCCAGGAATGTACAAGATGCTGTTTTCATTAGCCAGAAACCTTTCTGTCTTCGGGTCAATATCAGTACAGACACCCTCTTGCTCTGAAAGCAGCTGTTACATCTGAGATGATGCCATTAGTGAGAGACAAAGGAGAGAACGATAGAGAAACCTCACAAGACAGGAACAGTTGAAAGCCGTTTGCAATGTGTATAAGGGCTCTATCAGCCTCCCCCTCGCTGCCTATCAGTGTTTACTGTATGTCTCTGGCAGGGTAATAGAGCACTGAAGTGAGGGAATTACAACGGCCTTTGATTTTCCTCTTAAAATGTATGGAGCAGGGCTAATGGGTTAATACATCCCAGTGAGTACTTTACTGAGGTCCCATTAGCAGGGAGCTCTACCATGTGCTGCCAGGCACTGCTTGCTGACTTCTAAGCAAGGAGCTGTGGTGACCATTGCAAGGTCCCAAACCAGCAGTTGTGGAATAGGAAGAAACAGAAGCATAAGAGATATTGCAGGGAACTGTGGTGAGGCTGAAGTTGCTGTGGATTTAGGTTTGGATTTGGGTCTGCCTCTCAGGCAGCCCTGATGCTTGTGGAGTGGTTTGGATGTATTTTGTACCTACCCCGTTCAAACCAGGGCTTCCAAGCCCTGCATTGTAAAAACTGGCAAGCTAGCAAAAAGTTAGTGTTGCTGAGTTGCCAGCTGGGTGCTCAGCCTTGCTCCAGCCCTGTGTTGGTACCTGCTGGTGTGAAACATCTCAAAGATGCTAGTGGAGGATGCAGGACTGCGCTAGTGGGAACAGCTAGGGTTCACTAAGGCAGAGATTGCTTTGTAGCACAAAGGGACGGTGGTCCGAACACAGCTACATCGTGGAGTTAATCCTGTAATATTAAAGCAGGAAACCCACAATGATTTCATTTAAATCCCCAATGAGATTATGTTGCATGAATAGCTAAATGCCAGTGGGCACTAAAGCAGATCTACAGGTTTACATTCCTGACTCATCGTTTAGTCCTCAATGGATGGGTTTGTAGGTACCCCCAAGCACAATGCAGTATCACCTAATTAAATGTCTGTGTGAAAAAAGGCACGTCTCCTCCGATCCTCTGTGCTGTTGTCAGTGGAGTACCTGAGCAACAGGGGGAAAGACTGAAATTCATCATGAATTTTGTTTGTGAAATGTTCTTCCTGTGGAAAATATTTCTGTCATCCACATTTGGATGAGAGATGGAACTCATCCACATTTCATAAATATCAAATCATACATTAATATGGGAGAGACAGGTGTTATTGTAGGGTTCATTTTTTAGAGGGAAATCTAAGTCACAGAGAAATTTATCACCTGACAACATCTGGAGAGGTTCAGCCTTCATCAGCTCCTTGCTGTCTTCTCCAAGCCTCATTTCCCTATAAATGTAATCCTGCCCTGATGGCTTTTCTTGTTATTTTGAGCTGCAAAGACAAAATATCAAAACATCTTATTTATAAAAGGAAAACCCTGCAGCTACATAAGCACACGCTCACACACTCTTTACAGGTATCTTTTTCTGGTGGTAAGATCCATTGGCAGTTGGTAGGCAGAGCAGGAAAGGAAACCCCACACCCCATTCACAGTTTCAATGGGAAATCGGTTCCCAAATAAAACTCTGGCTTTGAGAAAGTACTGTAATACAGGTGCCATTCCCATCCTTGCTACCCTGGAGTGAACCAGGCTAAAGCCGGTGAAGCAAACAAGCCCTTCCAGATTTGCAGCTCTATCTGACTGCAGTTTGGCCTTCTGCAACTAAATCTGGTCTCTTCCAGCTTGGAACTGTCCCAGTGCAACACTAATGAAACTGTGGGTTGTTAGTCACAAGTGGTGACAAGATGGTGGGTTCTTCAGAAGTAGATATTTCATGTTTAGACTGTAGAGATTTTTGCTTTCTCAGCTTCAGTATACGTATGTGTTTGTGTGCATGTATGTGGAACTGTATGAGGTTCCGTCTGCTCTGAGATAAGGGCAATGAGCTGTTTCTCAGTTTGAAACATTTTGCCAAGCCTGGGTTTGCAAATGCTAGAAAGAGAGCACAGGCAACCTCTGGGGCCAGCATCCAGAGCAAACTGCAGCTAGGCAGATTCCAGGTAGTCATAAAGGGGGCTGTTTGCTTTCTTAATTCATAATGAGATTATCAGTATTGCTCAAGATGCAGAATGTTAGATCTTCCACCTCTCCAATACTTAAAATGCAAGTTAGAGATTAATACATATATGGAGAGATTAACAGCTCATGAAATTATGTGGCCTTAGGCTACAGAAGCCTGAATAATTTTGGCCTTTAACTCTACATGTTTTGTGGTATGGGGTGTGCAGTGATGAGATTGTACTGAGTGCTTCCTAAATTTGGAGGACAGAAACGGATACTTCTAAAGTTTATGACTTTTGGAAGAAGATAAAATTGGCAGTGAGTTCAGCGCCATTTCAATGCACAGGATCAGAGTGACAGTCCTTGGGCTCTCAAGGACCAACGGCACTTGGTACATGTGTGACAGCATCTCTCAGCTGGCACAGTCCATCAGTGCCAACAAACAGCTGTTTGCAGGACACTGAACTGGAAGGAGAGAGCTTAAGATAGCTACAGGGACTTCTTACAACAGCTGCTGAGACACAGCATTAAGCAAGTTCTGCTAGCTCTAGTGTGATGACAGAGGTGTGAAATCATCTTGACTAATTTTACAAGCACTTAAATCAATGCGGGGTATGGAGGAATTGAAAGCTGTTTGTTGCCAGCCTGTACTTCTTTACTTCATAAAATAAGTTCAGGTTCTTGTCCTGCTTTTGTGCCTGCTCACACTCAGCCTCCAGCTAGCTGTAATGACATAGATGCTGCAGAGGAATCCCATAGTAAGAGATGACAGCTACTAAGACAAGGTTCAGAAATCACATTTGAGGGGCTTTCCGTGTCAGAGTAGCAAGTTCTTGCACTCTGGCATGCCACTTTCAGCTGCTGGTTTCACCGCCCTTTGTCTGTGCTCCCATTATACTCAACTGAAAGTTGGGAAAACTGAGGCAGTGAGGAGATTTCCACAGGCATCACAGGGATGGTGGCATCAGGCATCAGGAGTGCAACATCTTGCACCTGGCTGGCAGTAGCCCATAGATCCACGTGTCCCACAGACCTTGGGTTCCTCCTGGCTGGACAGGGTCCTGCTGTGTTTTGATGTTTCTTGTTTGTCTACAGGAAAGCTGGAGAGGGGCTTTGGACAAGGGCCTGTAGGGACAGGCCAAGGGGAATGGCTTTAACCTGCCAGAGGGGAGACTGAGCTGAGCTCTTAGGCAGAAGCTCTTCCCTGTGAGGGTGCTGAGGCGCTGGCACAGGGTGCCCAGAGAAGCTGTGGCTGCCCCATCCCTGGCAGTGTTCAAGGCCAGGTTGGACACAGGGGCTTGGAGCAAGCTGCTCTAGTGGAAGGTGTCCCTGCCTGTGGCAGGGGTTGGAGCTGGAGGAGCTTTAAGGTCCCTTCAACCCTGTCCATTCCATGGTTCTATGATGAGGCTCCTTCCATTTTGCAGTGCAGGTGAGGCTGCAGCTCCTCTGAGTCCCATTTCAAAGTCCCCTTTGGCTCAGTGGGAAAAAGCTGCACTAAGCTCACAGAAATAGTCTGGGCCTTTTCCTCATGGTTGCACCCTCTGGATGCTCATCCTACGGTAAAGGGATGAGGAAGACAAGAGTGAATTATCTCCTGGTACTTTCTTTAGGGCAAAATAGTCTAAATGGCTTTCTACTAAGACTCCTTCCTTACTAGCAGGCTTCCTTAAAACAGCTTAATCTACACTGTCAGACAACAAAACCAGTGAGGTCTCCTTGGTATTTCATCCTAAATGTGACTTTACTTTTCCTCTTCCTCTTGGTTTTTTTAAAGTCATATAATCCTATTGACTTCAGTGGGATTACTTCAGATTTACAATTACCAGTGCAAAGCAAATTAGAGGATATGATTGAACATATGCATCAATCAGGCCTGAAACTGGAGTAATTTCTGCCTCTCTTGGCTGGTGCCAAAATGCTACTTTGCTCCTTGAGAAATAAAACAAGAAAATAGTTATTAGCTGCCTTAGCAAAGTGAGAGCCGGAAATGTCACATCTTTTTCCATAACTTGCCTTCTCAGAAACACAGCTGATGTCATCAAATAAGTGCTTTATACACACACACACACACACACAACTTGCTGACATCAATAAATGTAAGTACAGCTTTGGAAACACAAAGCGCGGCTAGCTCAGTGAGGGGCGAGTCTTGAGTGATGCCAAGACTCTCCCGAGACAGCTCATGACTGATGGGGCTCTGGTTACACCAGGCTGTTTGTAGAAAGTACTGTAATACAGGTGCCATTCCCATCCTTGCTACCCTGGAGTAAACCAGGCTAAAGGCGGTGAAGCAAACAAGCCCTTCCAGATTTGCAGCTCTATCTGACTGCAGTTTGGCCTTCTGCAACTAAATCTGGTCTCTTCCAGCTTGGAACTGTCCCAGTGCAACACTAATGAAACTGTGGGTTGTTAGTCACAAGTGCCATGATGGTGGGCTCTTCAGAAGTAGATATTTCATGTTTAGACTGTAGAGATTTTTGCCTTCTCAGCTTCAGTACATGTATGTACAGCATTTTGCTTGCTTCAGGAGACACTGCAAGGCTCCAACTCCCAAAGGCTGCTTGAGCAGCAGGGGATTTTCTGTTTTAGAGGGTGAACTCTCTAAATACCACTGAGTTTCTGTCCTTCTTGCAGGACGCTTGTAGTGGGAGCGGGCTCAGGGTGCTGATTATGCATGACCAGAGACTGCTGTTACCACCCTAACAGCTTCAGTTGGAAATAAGGGCCAGAAGGGTTTTCTCCTACCCTATGACCTCTCTCCACATCACTACAACACTACATTGACATGACTAATATCAGGAAAGTTGGCTTTGGTTTTTCTTTGGGGATTTCCAGCATGGTCAAGGGACTTTGATATGTGACTTGCTCAATCTTGGAGTGCAGTGACAACCTGTTTCCCTCTAAAGTTTTTAAACTGCTAAAAACAGAGACAGATTGCAATTCTTTCAAGGCATCCTCAGCCTCCTTCTCCAACAGTGAGTGCAGAGGGTGCAACTTTACAAATCACCAACAAGGGGGGCTTGAGGGGACCAGCTTCTCCCTGATCTATCCCTCCTGACCAAGTGCTTCTTAGAAATCTGGCCATGCAGATAATGCAAGGGTCTAGAGATCTGAATTCTTTTTTTGACCCTTAGTTTAAGGAATCCTGTAAAACTTCAGATCCTTGCCTCACTGCGTTTAGTTGACTCCTTCTCATTCATGTAAGGAACATGAAATATGTTATCTGATGTCATGGAGTAGCACCAAGATGTACTAGAACTTAGTTCGGTGTATTAACCCATCCTTCAGAGATGCTGGAGATGAGTGACTCTAATAGTGATGTTATCAACTGAGTCACAGGATTTCCACAGTCATTGTATACCATGGGAGAGGGAGTTGCAAGCACAGCCGGGAGATGTAAGGAAGAGCCAGAGCAATGAGAAATAACCATCCACCCTGTCTGGTTGCAAACACTGGGATATACACTGCTTTTCTGAGCCTGTATCTTGTCCCTGTATCCGTGTGCCTGTGGGCTGCACAGGACAGGGCAAACTGCTCTATACAATCACAAAATAACAGAGGAATAATCAGCCCTCCTGCATGCTACTCAAGCTGCTGTTGCTTGTTGCTTTGGAGCTGCTGCTGTGGGATTTGTCCATAGCACAGTTCTAGCAAACACATGAGATGCCAAACGCTGACAGCTTTTTACAGTACAAAACCAGCAGGAGTGGTCATTTAATCTGTTGTTTCCCTCAGGGAACACCTCCGAAGACTATTTAAGAATCCTACAGAACGTCCCGACCAAGGGAGCGGCTGCGTACATGAGAGGTCAGTGGGGAGTTCAGTGTTGGTAAGGAGAGGTCGCAGAGGTGGTTGAAGAGCAGGCTGTTTGCTATTCAAACTGGGCTTAGTGGCAAGTGGCTTTTTGACCCAATGGATATTTTATGGGTAAAAACGTTCTTAGCGTTCCTGAAATGCGGGTGTCTTGGGTAAAGCCCCTCTCTGGCCACAGAAACTCTGGTTTTTAACTTGATAAGGAAAAATCGGTAAGTAGATACCTTCTGCACACAAACACATGAATACACCTCTGTTATTTCCATTCAAGTATTGCAGAAGGCCATTTTAACTGCATCTCCCTGGGTTTCCCAAGGGCTCTGTAGGTCCTTGGAACTCTCTAACACCCCACTTCCATGTGTGAACTCCCAGTCATCTGGCCAGGGCCTTTTTTTGGAGCTTCCTATGGGAAAACCACTGAAGAGGTATCTGTTTATCAGGAAACACACTGCTGCAGGTCACCTAAGGCTGAATTCAGGTCAGTAGAGTTCAGCAGCTCATTTTAAAGTTTGTTTACTTTCCTTTCTAGTGTTCAAGCAAGTAAACAGTTCAAAACTGAGCTTGGTTGAGAAGGGCATTTGTGAAGACATCCAGTGCAAGAGAGAAGAGCTGGTGATAAAGAAACAAGGCCTCTACTTGATCTATTGCCACTTGAACTTCTATTTCCCCAGCTGGTCAAACAGTCCCACCGACCTCAAGATAGAGCTCCTTGTGAATGACCAAGTCAACAGGCAAACGTTATCCACATGGTGCGCCTCCGAAACGTGCCACAAAAAGACTTTTAAGACCTTGTTCCAGCTCCATTTGACACCCCTGAATGTGAAGGACCGAGTATCAGTAACACTCAATCATCCTAAATTCTTAAATGAAATTTTTCTTCCCAATGAAAACGTTCTTGGGGTCTTGAGGTACAGTGATGACATGTGAGCAGCTCTCTGACTTCCTACTGCTGCCCAGATTGATCTTTCCCTGAACGAGAGTAGTCTGTTTTTATTAGGCAACACCTTTAGGAACTTTGTGAGTATCCCAGAACAAACCCTAAAACACTGCAAAACCCACACCTGACAGATTCTTCTGGTGTGATTTGGGGTTGGATTGTTGTTGGACTACCCAGCATATAACCCACATACCTGACAATGGTTCCTCAAAGCAATCCTGTGTAAACCCAGATTAAACATAACCAGATTATGGGAAGAATACACAATATTGAGACTTGTTGGGTAATGGACCATTGGCAAGGTGCCTGCGCTCAGGAGATGGGGGAATCTTTTTAACTGAATTTTATGGAGTAGTATTTTGACATGGACTTACCAAAAAACTAACAATCAAAGCTTGTAATCTGGGTTTTCTTTACAACAACCTTGCAACCGTAACTCTGGAGTAGGTTTATGGATAGAATGTATGAAAGCAAAGGCAATGGTATTATTGACTTTCAAGCTAAAACTCTGGGACAAAACACAGAAGATAGGGGATTTACAGGATATTTCTGTGCTGCATCCTGCTATGGACTTTGTGCAATTTATTTCCAAGTGTCTTCTTTTTCACTATTTAACCATCTTTTCTATTTAAATATTAAGCTGTTTGGGGCAGAGACTGTGTATATGCACAATGCTCAGTCTCTGGTCTCACCTGGGGTTGCTAGACCTTTTCATAACAAATATTAGAACAGTAATCTAGTTGCAGATCTAGCCACATAGCTAAGCTCATCACTGTATGTTTTCCTTGAATCCTGTCCTGCCTGTTTGACAGAGCCCTGCATGACAGCAGGCCACACTGGTGTGGAAAGACACCTCTAATGCTTTCACCTTCTGAAAAGCCAAGATTTAGATCTGAGGTCCAGACTTTCCCAGAAACAATTTCAGGCTTGGCCCTCAGCCAGGAGCTGTGGAGTTTGCGCAGTCCAGAGGACAGATATTATCTGAGCTTCTTTGGTTTAGTTGAATCCTTAGATAATGAAGGATTAAAGAGTAATCTCAGGCTCTCTTAGTCTATGAATTGCAGTAACACAGGTGTGTATTTGAGATTTAATTATTACAGTGTGAAGATAGGATCAAAAAGCTGGTACCAGTTCACTGCTTTCTTTTTTCCCTTCATCCCTAAGATCCTACTAAGGTCTATTTTCACTAGTATTCAAGTTTTTCCCCTTGTGTTCTTGTATCTTCTTTCCTTTACACATCTAGAGCTCAGTGGATTGTTCACATCAAAATATTTAGTCACAGATTTAGTTTCTAGCTTCAGAAACGCAGTGTCTTCTTATTCAAGCTTAGTTGATGTTGTCAACTGAGGTAGTTTAGTTTGCATGAGCACACTCAAAAACACTCCTAATAGCAGTAATCTGTTAACTGTGCTATGTCACCAGAAACTGATGGTACAGAGTGGTGAGGTTTCATCCCATTGACCAGGTGACTTCAAAATACACAAGAAACTTTCAAAGCGCTCATGAGCAATTGGCAGGATTCATTGCTAGAGGTACTGTTTTGATGCACATAGAATTATAGAATGGTTAGGGTTGGGAAGGACAAAAATTCTTTTTGCTATTAATGTGGGGAAAAAAGGAAACCAGAAAACTAAATCCATGTTTTCTTTCTTTCTTTTCCCCTTACAGAAAAGGCTTATCTTGCCTATGACATTATAACCTCCACTGAGGTCTTCTCACCTCCCTAGGCCCTATAAATCTTTCAAGTCTATGAATAAGGTTTTTAACCTTTGTCTGCCTTCACCTCGATGCACACAGTGGGTGCCCAGAGAAGTTTAAGCGAGCCCAGCAGCCAGGAATCATAGCTCCTGAATATAGAAAAGGCAGCTAATGAATGAAGATATGCATTTACTCATATGTAACGACCCACTCCCTTTTCCTAACAGCTTTGAATAGAAAAAGAAAGACCATTCTTAAAAAAAAAAAAATAAAAAAAATCAGTGCTCTGCATAGGATGATTTTATTCTATTATTTTACCAGATGGAGAAAATCCTAACAAAGCAGTGCTAAGCTTCTCAGCCCCAGGCTTTTTAATACCACAGGATAAAGCAATCTGGCCTCTACTCTGTTGTCTCTGAGAAATAAGAATAAATTATAGCCATAAAGAGAGCCCATTAATAGTGTGCAATTTTGCCATCAGTTAGACAATGTTAAATTCCTTCCAGTGAAACAAGACCCTGAGCCAGCAGCAGCCTCCATGCTTCCTGGCAGACTCCAAGACACTTCACTCTTTCATCCTTTTGCCTTTGCTTATTTCCTAGTGTTTTGAAGAAGGTCATTTTGAACAAAAATCCTGTACTACAAAGGAGTCCAAACTGACTCTTCACACAGTGTGGTCCTTTCAGCAACATCAGCAGCAATTCACTTTGGGGAACAACCCATTTCCACGGTCTTATCTTCACCATATGCAGCAGATAAGCTTTTCTACAGGAGGGTCCTCACTCTTCTGAGTAGCACCTCAGCCCTAGAAACCCTGCTCTGGTTTCCCACCACGGGGCTCAGCCCATGAGAAAAGGGGCACTACTGAAAGCCCTGAAGTCATGGAGAAACTCTGAAAACCCCTCCCCTTGCCCTCAGATGTGGCAAACGTGTGGCTTTCTGAGCATAAGCTCTATTGCTAACTTGACCAGAAACAGGAAGCATCGGCAATCTCACAAGCAAGTCTGCTCTGTTGAGGTTTCTTGGCCCATTGCAGACACCAAAAAAGCTGCATCGTTAAACTGTTTTCTGCCTGGCTAAGGAGTATCTGTAGGTGTTAATGTAAGCCATTGTTTGTATATTGGAGGGTAGGAAAGAATGTGTGGTGTTGGCTTAATTCTGGCTGTTGTTAATTGCTAGAGAATATTTTTCATAGGGACCTAAATGGAAGATAAGTCAATGCAGTTCACTTCCAGCCAAGCTCACCCGGGGGCAGCAAATCAAAATCAGATCAAGTTTAGTTTAGATGATAGAGTCGGATCCGAAGTTCGCCCGAACTGTCAAGACTTTGAAACCAGGATTGCAATTAAACTTCACAAGGCTTGGTGACACCTCCCATGAAATTAGTCTGACCCCAGACTCCTCAAAGCTCAGATCTGAAAACCCGTCACAGCTTATCTGACACAGATTCATTATTTAGGCTGTGCAACTGCCTGCTGAGGGACTCGGGAGTTTTGCACTCACTTCAAGTCTGGTTTAGTTTCATTTCACTCTCCTCAGCACTTCCTACAGGCAGGAAATATCACAGTCACTGAGAGAGAAATCCTTCACTGCGCCATGGGCTAACCAGGGGCTCTGTGTTGCCTAAAAATGCACAGGAGTCCTATTTTAAAGATCCCACTCAGATCAATAGTGTATCAGCCTTCTTCTGCAAGGCAACTACCTGACTCAGCAGTCCTCTAATGCACTCAGATTCCTTTGGAGAGCAAACACCATTCTGCAGAACCTTTGCCACTTGCTCTTAAATTCCAGTTATTATTCTTTGTAATGTAATAGCATTACAAAGATACAAAAATTACAAGCAGCTATATTTTTCCCTAAGTGAAAGTAAGAAAGAGATTCTACAGCTCAACTAACCAACCAAAAAGTGAAATAAGTAAGAAGCCTTCACTCTGGGGGAGCTCTAGCTGGGCCTTACTCTCTGGTCTTCAAAGACTGGAAAAGGTACAACTTGTGTTTGGCATGAATAGCAAGGGAAAAACTCAAAGCAAATGCAGCTTCTGTCAGAGGAATAACTGTAAATATTCAAAGTCTCACAAACACTTGTGATACCAGGAGTTGCTCTCAGTGACCTCAAAATGTCATCCAGCCTCTGCTTTTTATGCTTATAATAGGTTCAATTTCAAGAGAGTATTATAGATTGCGAGGATACAGGGAAATATGTTTTGGAAGACAGCATTCTGCTGCCAGCCCCCCAGCCCAGGAGCTCAGCTAAAGCAGTTTAAATTCCCAGTTTCCCTTTCCAGTACTGATCCCAGGAGCTTGAAGATGTGGGATGGAGGACGGTAGAGACGAAAGAAGTGATCCAGGTGCTTCCAAGGAGAATGGAAGTGGTGAGCACCCAGAGCCCAACATTTGCATCAGGGCCACATGCAACCCCTCCACAATCAGCATCCCCTTTGGGCTGCAAAGAGCTCACTGCAGGCAGCAGCCACCCTCCTCTGCTGTAAGATGAAGCTGTTGTACACCATGGGTAAAGTCATCAGTTCTTCCCAAGATGCTGTATTCCACAGTATTGGCACATACCATTTCCCTTCAACCATGTTGACAGAGTCTAAATTTAGTATCCCTATTTCTCTCTATAGCCTGTGTGATGCAAGAGCTTCCAGGAGATGAGTCAGAGAACCACAAATAGCTGTCTAGATAAAAGTCAGCTGCTGAGTCTTTACACAGACCTGTCCTTGGAGTCCTCAGTTTTCATTCAGTTAACACAAAACCCCAGAACGGTTGGGGTTGGATGGGACCTCCTCAGATCCTGTAGTCCAACTCCCTTGCTAAAGCAGGTTCACCCAGAGTAGGTTGCAGAGATCATGTCCAGGTGGGTTTTGAATACTTCCACAACCTTTCTGGGCAGCCTGAGATGCTCTAGTACCCCAATCATCTCTGTGGCCTCCACTGGTGAGGCCACATTCAGCCAGTTCTCAATCCACCTCGCTGTCCACTCATCTAACTCACACTTCTGAGCTTACATCCATGAGGATGTTATGGGAGACAGTGTCAAAAGCCTTGCTGAAGTCAAGGTAGACAACATCCCCTGCTCTCTCTCTTCTATCCAGCCAATCGCTCCATCATAGGCGGCTATCAGATTGGTCAAGCAAAGATGATGAATTCAAGACAAATAAAAGATCATTTAATCTGTGGATTGATAATTTATGGACTCTTTCTACTAATAATTTATGGGCCCTTTCTACAGCTTCTCCAGCAAGATTTGTATGGAAAAACACAAATGGCAAGTAAAAAACTGATAAATTTATGGATGCAAAAGAATAACATTTGTTTGCTTAGGTCATTTTCGTTCCCACCAGCATCTATTGCTTTGCTTGGACATGTCCAGACCTAATAGAGGGAAAGCAAGATTTTGGAATCAGGCACCAATTCAGTACTTTGGGTTTGAAGTGACTGTTTTCTCACCTAAAACTGTTTAAATATTTGACAGTTTCATTCCTTCAGCTTATGTATTTTTAATGTCCTTGGGTTTCTATGATTCTGCTTCTTCCTCTCTTTGCATCTATTTTTCAGTTTCTATTTCTGCATAAAAGTGGATAAGAAAAAGCAACTAAATTGTAAAGTAAAGGAGGGAAAAGGAAGGAAACCAAAGCAGCATGAAGAATTGGAAAAAAACCCTGAACCTGTTTCACAGTTAAATGAACTCTACAGAAATTCTAACTCAAAGGGTGTTAGTGGTGATTGGCATATGCAACAACCTGAAAATAGGTATTTCTACAGCTGACGTTTTAGAGGAAAAATAAGTTTAATGCTTAAAAATAAGAATTTTATGCATTTTCTTAATACTTTCTATGAATGTAATTCCAGGGGCTTCAAGCAAGCTCCTGAAGCTTGACAGTGGTAGAAGAACATAACTTTTGCCTCCGGCAAGCAGAATTGTGGGCAGTATAGCAGAACCTTTATATTTAAAGGGTATTTCTTTCATGTATAAACCCGACTGTGTTGTGAGACAATTCACTGGGGGCTTTAGCAATAGAAAATGAAAGGTTAAAATAATTATGTCATGTAAAATGAAATGGTTCTGTGTTAATTATTGTAGTTTAAATACGGGGGGCATCGGTTTTCCTCAATAAATACATCTGATTCATAACACAGTGGGGAGTGTGTCTTGTATTATCTTCAGAGCACCACAGAGCATGTCTCCAGGTACATGTGTACAGAACTGATCCTGCAGCCTCGTCAATCCCAAACCTATTCCTTATGGGTGAGTTCACCTGGTGCTGGGTCACAACAGCCCTTTCAACTGTGTGCTCAAGGCAGAGGTCTGCAGAGAGCATCCATCCTACTCCAG